ATATCTGGTTATAGCGGCAATGTATGACTGGCGCCTTCAAGTGTTCTACCTTGTAGCGCTCCCTGTTGGGCTTGGTGGTGGGTGGTCACCATCGCCGCCGAACATCAAATGCTCCACATGGTGAAATCTTTTTCCCCCTCTCAATGATCGGTCCCTGAAAAGGAACCGCACCGACGAAAGCTCCAAACGAACCGGAACCGATTGTGACCACTTCCCACGCTTTCTTGTCGTATAATCTCTGAGAGATAACGTCTCTGTTGCAGGACTGTCGGTTTTCCTTATAGCTAGAACCCTTGCTAGCCTAATGGGCAAAAAGTGCGACGCAAATAAACTGTCATCCGGTGATCTTCTTGTTGAAGTAAGCCAGAAACAGCACGCAAACACTCTCCTGAAACAGAAACAGTTTGCCCACCTGGACGTGTCCATCACCTTCCACCGCAGTCTTAACACTGTTCAAGGCGTCATTTCACAACGTGATCTGATGCGAGAAACCGAAGCTGACCTCCTTGAAGGCTTTCGAGAGCAAGGCGTAGTCGCCATCTGTCGGATAACCATCAGGCGAAACAATGAAGTGGCGACGCCCAATATAGTACTAACATTTAACCGCTCCACCCTGCCCGAATCCGTGAAAGCTGCGTTTCTTCCCTGCAAAGTCCGCCCCTACATACCCAACCCTAGAAGGTGCTACAAATGCCAGAAATACGGACATGGGTCGAACACCTCTCGCAAAAAACAAACATGTGCAAAATGTGGTGATTATGAGCACCCAACCGAGAGCTGTACTTCCACGCAAACAGAGTGCCCTAACTGTCACGGGCCGCGCGCAGCGTACTCGCCGACATGGGAAACTTTCAAAATGGAAAAGAAATTATCCAGATAAAAGTAACGGAAAACATCACATTCTCTGAAGCCCGGAAGAAGGTCTCACTCTTCTCCGGAAGGTCGTACGCCGACGCAGCGCGCTGGGAGGCCGGGCAGCGTCCAGCAACGGTGGGCACGCAGTACAGCTTTGCTGTACTGCGTGCCCACCGGAGGGGCGAAAACCTTTATTTTCAAGTAATAATCTTGGTTAGAACGTGCCCACTTTGTTAGCGTTTGATAAACGCGGGCACAAAGAGAAGTTCATTGCACTGCGAGACGCTAAAATACAGCTGTCATATCATGATTATAAATAAATAACACACAATAAATAAACATATAGGCAACAATATAGAAAGAATCGCAGAAGCGCATCTGCAACAAACGCACACAACTACACATAAAGCGCACAATTAACGCGACACGGCAGTACTCGCCTCAGCAGTTCACTCCGGCATGAACCAAAAAAATTAATATGTTGGCTACGTTTTTTTTTTTTTTCCTCGCGCTAATTTTATCCTACGCACTTTACATCACTCTTTCGCGAAAAACAGTAACAAGCAGTTACCGCAGCAAAAACAAAGCAATTTTAGGTATCATGCAATCCGTTAACAAGACAGGCGTGTTTACTCAAAGATAAGGTCCTGTGTTACTTTGAGTAACAAAGAACGACTTTGTTATCAAAAATACAAATTCAGTGTGTTTCTTGAGAAAGTGGAACACTACGTATTTTGTTTTAGTACAGCTAATAGTGAGCTGATTATTGGCAAATCATTCCAAAATGTTCGACAAATTGGTCATGACGTCATTTTGTAGCGCTGCTTAGGAGTTTCCTGTAAAAACTAAAACAGTGTCGTCCGCGTACATTAGTGCCCTTGACCTCTGTAGAGATGGCAGTACATCATTAATAAAGAGAGAGAACAATGTAGAACCTAATACTGAACCCTGCGGTATCCCACATTTATTATAACAGTAAGATGAATTTATGATATTAGAGACTACCTTTTGTATGCGTGCCGATAACACCCAGTAAAAAAAAAAGACTAGTGAGTTACCTGCGATTCCATAGGAACGCATTTTTTTAATAAAAAGGAGTGACTAATAGCATCAAATGCCTTCCTTATGTCTAAAAGTACTGCTACTACTATGGTGTTTTCATGTAGCGCGGAATTAATATATTGTGTAAGTATCGATAGAGCAGATGAAGTTGACCTGTTAGCAACAAAACTGTGTATCTGGGGACCAAGTACATTCTCATCACATAGGAAGCGCCTTAATTGCGATGAAGTTATGTTTTTAAACACAGTGTTAATACTATTCAGGACAGCTATCGGTCTGTAGCTGTCCGGAAGCCTCGATCCCCAGATTTGTAAACTGGCACTGCCTTGGCTGACTTAAGTATGTTAGGATAAGTTTTAGAAAATATGCATGAATAAATATGTAACACGGCGGACCACAGAAGACACCAGTGTTTTCCTTTGAAATCCTTGATGATATGGCGTCATTGCCAGTTGCCTTGTTCCTTGGTAACTTCTTAATAACTTGTTGGATATCATTCTCTGTCACATCACACAGCTAGAAATTACTAGAAACCGTTAATGTTGTAATTAGTTTTGATTTGTTAATGTTAGAATGAAACGTACAGCGAAAACAGTGGGGCCACACTACTGCAACACTCACGGGCCGCTAAGTAAAACGGCCTTGACAGCAAATTCACAACGGATTACACAGGAACCATACGGGAAAGCCGGAACTGAAGGGGCAAATGCCCTCAAGTCTGGCAACCGAGTTATGCAAAGCCAAAAATAAACGTGCCGCTCTTCTAGCTAGACTAGTCTGGCATGGTCTACAAGAACTTCCATTCCAGTACACGTACACTCTAACGATAGCACTGGTCCGCAAGCCATAAACCCACGTGGCGCGCGGTAGTTGAGCGCCTTCCTTCAGCGACACAAGAGGGAGTGCATCAGTATGAGCGGCAACTCGTCTGCAGCTGCTAAGCGACGCGCTCAAGCGGCAGCGGCGCTAGGCTGGCTTCTCGTGTGTCCTGTGTAGTTGCGCTCTCGAACCACCCATCACCGAGGTGCACCAACAGAACACAATCACAGGAACAGCTTGTCACTTGTTCTTCAGGGTTCCCTTACAAGGAGATGTTTTTTTTTTTATTTTTTAGGGGCGACGCTCCTTAGTATCGGGCCATGTCCCCCTATCCGTCGTCGCGTTAGACTGCGCTAGAGGCGCTGCCGTCTGCTGTCCACTGGGGGCGCTGCGGTGCGTGGGGGGTCGCTGTCTCCCTGTTTCTTTGGTTTCTTTGGCACCCGCCATGAACGACGGCGAAGAAAGAAAGGTGCTTGTGGCGGCTAATCTACAAGCGGAGCTTAGGGCTCGTAAAGCAGCCGCGGCACGGCGGCGCAGGCAAATGAACCTGGAGGCGGTGAGGGCTCGCGAAGCTGCAGCGGCACGCCGAAGAAGGCAAGCGAACCCGGAGCTGAGAGCACGCGAAGCTGCAGCGGCACGGCGACGTAGGCTAATGAACCTGGAGGCAGTGAGGGCTCGCGAAGCTGCAGCGGCACGGCGACGCAGGCAAATGAACCCGAAGGCGGCGAGGGATCGCGAAGCTACAGCGGCACGGCGACGAAGGCAAGCGGATCCGGAGGCGGCGAGAGTACGAGAAGCGATTGCAAAACGTCGGAAGCGTTCGAAACCTGATGGTGGCGCCGACGCTCGGTTTTTGCGTGATTTCATCGGCTTCACTTTTGGTCTTTCGAGGACAAACGCCATTGATGTGTTGCAGCGAGAGTTTGCCGGCGGCGATAACGATCACAGTGAGTACTTGGTTTCGTTGCCTTTCTGTGGAGAAAAAAAAATAGCGAGCTGGTATGAAGCCGGGTTTTTGATCGAGGCGGCGGGACACCGCTAAAGTAACACCGGAAAGGGGGCGTGGTCATGACTGCTTTCGAGCAACCGTGTTGTGAGCGAGGTTGATCTGGTGCAGTCTGTGCTCCAACTGTGCATGCGCCTACTCGCACTCTCCTTTTTTACGCAGGCCATCGGTCGCCTCTTCTCTCGCTCACCCGCGCTGCAGCCTTGAACTATCTCTTTCTACGCGGGCGTTCGATCGCCTTCTCTCCACCGCCCGCGCTGCAGCCTACTCCATTTCACACCAGCGCGTGTGCTCGCTCGGCTTCCCTCATTCTCGCTTTGCTCTCGTTCAGATGAGTGGAAACAACAGCTGCGGTAGCACTCCAATCCCCGTCAAGATCGTCGCGGAGCAGCAGCGCAGGGCTCGCGATGCCGAACGCAAACGCCTGCGCAGGCGCGTCCTGAACTCCAGGCCAGGGAAGCGCAAGCGAAGCGTCGAGCTACCGCTTCCGCTACAGAGACACAGCGCGAGTCGGTTGCTAGGGTAGCGAGGCTTTCGAGACAACTGCAGCGACCGGTAATCGACGGAGTGACCACACGATTCAAGCGAGACTTCCCCGACCACTACGAACACAACGTAATGGTAACACAAACACTTAATACAAACCGCACATATTAACGGAAACGCCGAGTGAATGGACACATGGAAGCTCAAATACTGTTATTGTAAGCTAACAGAGGTTTCCCTCGTCCTAATTGGTGACAGGAGGTCCTAATTGGTGACAGAAGTGGGGTGGGGGAGGGGGGTGTGATCGCCACAACCGCCACCACCATGAATCTGCACCTGTCGGTGGTGACTTCGTTGCAAGCCATGCGAAAGCTTATTGGTATCCACGGCGTGCAAGGAGAGACAGTTACGGGTCGGCACTTTTCATCTGTTATAACCACTTATATAAAAAACAATTCAACGAGAGATTGTCAGGAATGTGCATTGTGGTGACAAAGTCATGCCTGGTGTATTTTAACTAATTTTACATAACCACTGAATTTTTCAAGGTGGGGGCTTTGTTAATAATTTTCGTGGCGCCCACCCCCACTGTGCACGCGCTTATCCTGCCCCTCTCTCTTCTCTGGGAAAAAACTTCTCCCTCCATGTCTACCACGGCCTCCTCTACTCGACGGAGCGCGCGCCGGCGCCTACGACAGGTGGTGCGACTGCTGCTTACTCCGCTGGGGGCCCCACCACCCACGGTAGTTTCGCGGTGGTTGGTAGGTGTTCTGTAGCGCGCCATTCTGTGGGCGCGCCTCGTTCTCCTGCGCTACTCCGCGATGAGCGTCGACGTCAGCGCCGCGGAGAATAGAGCTCGGGCCGCGATACGAGAGCTGCGACGTGACGAACTTCGGGCTCGTAAAGCCGAAAGGATTCGTCAACGCCGGCAAGCAGACCCCGAACTCCGGGCTCGAGAAGCCGAATTGAAGCGCAAACGTCGAGCGGCAAATCTCGAGGCTCGGGCTCGACATGCCGAAAGGATTCGTCAACGCCGGCAAGCGGACCCCGAACTCCGGGCTCGGGAAGCCGAATCGAAACGCAAGCGTCGAGAGGTGAATCTCGCGGCGGTGCGGCAACGCGAAGCCGAATGGAAACGCAAACGTCGAGCGGCGGATTGCGAAGCGGCGAGGCAACGGGAGTCGGCGGCGAAACGTCTGGAGCAACTGCTGCAACCCGGGACCGATGTCGCGAGCGCGCCGTTCGAGCGACATTTCCTCGACCGGAGCTTCGGCCACAGCTGCAGTTTGTGCGACAGGCTTTGGTTCGATAATGACGTGACCAAGGTCGGCAGCATCCAGAACGAACAACACTGGAACGCGGTCGCCGGTGTGCTGCGACAAGAGCTCGGAACGGCGAGTAGCAACGACGGCAACCACGGTGAATTCATGGTGTGCTCAACTTGCAAGGAGGCGTTAATGTCGGGCAAGGCGCCCGTGATGAGTGTGATACATTCTCAATACATTCTCATTCGTCCTCCCAATAAATTACACCATCTAACACTCAAGCGGACCATCTCCCCGCAGCGTCTCGACCACTCATATGGTTTGCTTTAGTGGAAGATGGTGCAATTTTTCGTCGCACACGCGGTGGTGTGTTGCGTACAAAATCCGCTCGCATTTTTGTCGGCTCTGAAAGGAAAGCGGCTATCGAACGGCGCCGCGCGAGTACGCCGGGCAGCAGCGTGATCACTACAGTGCGTCGCGAAGAGTTTCGCGTCCCTCCCCCCCCCCCCCCCACCCCCACCCCCAGAGTTTCGAGCACGGCAGCCGAGGAGTGCTGTCTGATAACGTGAAGGCTCAGTGCCGATCTCGTGACTAATTTCAAAAGCGCCAACTCCGAGCTCCAGTGCCAGTTCAATGGAATGCGAGTGCGCCGCGTTGTGCAGCGTGTGCCCCACGAAGTGGTCTGTTGTGTCATACGCTGGCGTTTACGACGCGGCGCTCCGTGTTTTGGCCAAGGCATTCGTCGCCGAACGTGGGCTGCGCATGGGTGTGCTGCACGTGCGAGGACTTGCTCCTGCGAGGTAAGGTGCAGATGCATGCGCCTGGCGGGGTGCACGCAGCTTCGTAGCGCACTGCTACTCCATTCGATGCGGTTAATCCGCGTACGTAATAACGGCGCGGGTGACACATGTCCGGAATTCCGGCCGCATAGGGGCGAAACACCGTGGGGCGAAAGCTAGACGCCCGTGTGCAAGCTATGCGTTGTCAGTGCATGTTAAAGAACACCAAGTCAGAATTACTGAAGCCCTCCTCTATGGCATCACGGTTCGGGCACGTAAGACCCCAAATGATTTCCATTTGCACAACAACAAGGTGTACCTCGTAGGTGTGCGAGGCTCGACAGTGAGGAAAGTCTCTCATGCGTTTGCTTCTGATAGCCCGTCAATAGAGAGTTCACATGGTTGTATCTTGTGCTATAGACATTTTGTATATAGTGTAATTTTTTATATTTATATTATTAGAGGCCAGATTTTCAGGCACTACAAAAGTATCTTATAGGCATCCTAGATAAGCAGGTACAATAGCGTTTCAGGCCTTCAAAAATCGGAAATATAGGCCCAAAAAAGTTCTAAGTAAATTGAAACAATTCGAAACAAAGACATGCGCAATCTTTGTATACAACAGGAACCGCAAAATGTGAATTTTCATGACTGCACAAAGGTGCCAACAGTTGAGCATGGCACTCATTTTGAACAGGGTTCGCAGAATGCAATCATTTCTTTTATTGTCTAGCATGATGAGTCAAGTGTACATGCACTATCGAATCAACATGCTTCTGTGCCTTTTCCTAAGCGTCAAGGCTGGGAAGTGAAGCACAAGGGTCGATAGCCTTACCGCTAAAAGACCGGAAGGCGGGGATTCCTCATATTAACCGTGTCTAATCATGTCAGGTCCATTTGTTTCTTGTCAGTGAACACGTTAAAGAGCCCCTCACCCAGTTTGAACATTTTGAGTTGACAACTAACTGTAATGCATGCACTGGATGCTCATCATTACGCCTGCCAAGATTTTCAATGCCACGCCTCTCACACAAATGTGAAATTTCAAACTGAACGGCGCTTGCCCTCCTTGAGGGCGCGCGCCCCAAGAAGAAAGGTGAAAAGAGTGACTTACAATGAGGAATAGTCCTCCTGTTATGTTGCTCCTTTACGTAAACATTGGTGTCCTGACGTCGCTCACCATACATTAGCTCTTAATCAGGTCCTGATAAATTGTGCGCTTTGTTCAGAAAATCAGACAAGAATGTCTCGTTTTCTGGCCATATCCAGTAAAATAAAAGAGAGGCGAGCGAGCTGCTACTGATCTATAACAACGTAAATGTAGCGTGAAAACTCAGACAAGAAAGGGTACACCACAAGCGCTTACTGACAACTGAAAGGTTTAAAGCTTGAACCGAAAATATATAACACTTACACTAGGTGCCCACCAAAATCCTGCACATGCGCATTGTGGGTAAAACAAAAGGCACTAATACAAACCAATACAAACCACCTCCTGCACCCCCCTCCCCATCGGTCTACCTTCTTTTTGGCCTTATCGGAGAAGGAAGTTGCACATCCTGCATGGCGATAGAATGGCTGTTCATTCCTTCGAACTTTTTAATATTTTTATTGGGTTCAGTGACTTCTCTAGTGGTGTTCATTTCCTCATCACATTTTTTCTGGTTATCTAAAATTTCTTGCAACATTTTGACGGTCTTGGGACACGGATTCTCTTCGGCATCCCCCAAAAGTTAACAAAAGTAGTATGACAACCAACAGTTCATCACATTAGACCAACATCATCGAGGGCATGACACATCAAGATTCTGTTGTCACTTTTGCAACATGCTGCCTAATGCTGCACACCCAACGTGCAAGTTTAGCAGCAGCGCTTTAGCCATGCTGTCCTGTTGACATGTTTCGTGCCCTCTGATGTGATAGTCATCATGTGCGTTCTTAAGTTCGCCAGCGGTTGCTGTCACCGTTATTCGTCAAAGATTGTCCAATACGGTGTCCGATGTCTTGTAATAGTCATTCAGCTGGAGCGGTGACTGCCCGTGCACATTAGAGCTAGTCGCTTTTTGGCATTCAGCGACTAGCTGCCTGTGCTAACTTTTTTAATGCAACAGCGTTAAAGAGCTCGTTTTGCAGGAATTTCGGCGTCAGTGACGGCATCATTGTTTGTGAGCAAAAAAAACATTTTGCTGTGACCAAAAAATGTATCAAGGTGCAAATAATAAAATAATTTATAAAGAATTCTGGGTCAGAGTGGAGATCAAACCTGGGTCGTTTGCGTGGCAAGCGGACGTTCTACCACAGAGCCACGTGTCTGCTTGTGAATACAGATAAAATAGTTTCCTCTGCTCGTAAATAGTCAAAATAACTTTCATGCTTAAAATGCATTCTGTATACATTCTTCACAACACATGAAGAAATATTGCAGTAATGTGTGGTACAAGCGTGCATTGCCATCACTTGTCAAAACATGTGATTATCATAATGACTTCATTGTTCAAAGCTGCTCACCCACTACAAAAAGCTCACACATTACTACGCCAATTCCTTTAAGGTCATGTAGCGAGTACATAGCAAGACTTTATGCACTATGTGTTTGAAGGACTGCATATTGCTGTCGCGTTCAACTCTTAAAGGCAAAAGTTATGAGTCCCTTAATCTTTTTTGCCTGAGCCAAGAGATACGAGCTGGTTAGACGTATCTATTTTGAATTGTGTGCATATTGTGAACTTACCAGGTACCATTACTTGCAATACAACCTATTTTGATGTTCTTGTGTACAGTGGCTTGCGTGCTGGTGGTCGGCTTACCAGGCCCATCGACCTTACCTGCTCTCAAAGTGCAGTTTATGGTACGATGTAACACCAACACTCGTGCTTTATTACAGGCATTGGTTTCAAAATCAAATTAGATGCTGCATTGCAATGATGTGCATGTGCACATAATAAGTGAGGGTTATTAACATATTCCTGCAGGGCCAAGCAACACTTTAATATAGGTTATGGAGCTATGGGAGTGCATGTAACCTGTTTATTGCATATAACCAGCAATGAATCTAGTTATTGTCACGACATGACGCCCTTTATGAGATTGCTTACCAAAGCAATTGGAAGCTCAGGTAAGGCTGTGGGGTAAAAAAGTACCAGCAGATCCAACTGATTAGGGGAATTCATGTCATACGATGCAGTCAGAATATCTGTCTATGCAATACTTTGAAAAATGTGTTGTTTTGTTGTTTGATGAGGTGAATCATCTGTGTACAGTGAATACTTGTGTGCAGATCGAGGGTTTATCAGGTGTGTCAGCTATATTAGCACTTTAAGGGTAACCTACTACTGTTAATGTAAGGTTGGCACTCTCATTACAATACAGGCGTAAGTACTGTATTTACTTACATAATCCTCACACTTTCTTTGGTGGAAAACCGTTCCAAAATTGGGGGTGCGAGAATCGCGCGGGGAAAACTTTCCACGAAAACGTACAGAGCGAAAAAGAAAACGAAGTGGCCACAAATCGGGATTCTCACACCAGCAACTAATAGCAAGCTTTGAGAAGCACTAATTAAAATTTACCTGAACAATAAAAGCAGAGGTTCAACACAGGGCAAGATTTATTTGAGACACAAGAAGTGCAAGCAAATAGTCGAGATGTAGAATACCATACGCAAAGCTTGTGGGCGTAGCGGTAGCGTTTGTCACTCAACAGGAGCCCTCAAAAGGTAAGCGTAGGATGTCAGTTTTGGGCTGATGGCTATTTAACAGAATCTTTCGCAGTTTCCTTCTGAAGAAATAAAGTTTACCATTAATTTCAGTCTTAGGCACATGGCAGGCCCAACGCGTCTTGATGGCTTTCAGCTGCCGTCACCAATAGCGAACACAAAACTCGTCAACTGTGACGTCGACAAGTTTTTGCCGCCTAGAGTCGACAGCAACAGAGGTGTCGACTCACGGCGGCTCTGTTGCCGTTTTTTGGTACATGATCAATCACTTTCAACTTGAAAGCAGCCGTGTAGCTTCAGTATCACATCATAACGTCGCAAGATTGCCGACACAACATACAAAACACGCCTCAACGCGCACTTGCTGCTTTGGCTTAGATTGGATTAAATCTCTGTGCAATCATAGTACGCTTGATGCTTAAGAGATGGCGCGAGATCGTGCGCGCTATCATCATCAACAGCTGGAACGAGCAGACGACATTATTGTGGCGATTTTCGGGGGTGCGATAATTACTAGAGGAAAAAAAAATAATCATATTTTTGTTGGGCGATGTGGGGGGTGCGAGAATTATGCGAGTGCCAGGATTACGCAAGTAAATACGGTATATCAAAACAAACTCATCAATATGGTGTGATGAACAGCATTTACTTATAGCATCATTGGCATACTCCCATAGGGTCAAGCAATGCTCGACTATCACTCACTGCATCATATGAGTAATATGTGATCTTTATTATGCTGCTGCACTATTGGTTAGCTAACAATCAAAACGCAGTTATTCACGTGACCTGTGAGTTCCCTAAATTTTTTTTAGCACTGGCCAGGCTCTGTGGCAGAAGACTTGGTTGTCACGCGGAATGTCTGGGTTCAATTCTAGTTCCAACCATAATTTTATCCACTGCATTCATCGGCAATTTTCACTCACTGACAGCGATGCCGGCACCAGTGTTTTGGCGACACTGGCTTCTAAAGGCTCTCACTTTAGTGGCCCAAGTCCACTCTTGTCGAGTAGCGCTCGTTTCGTTTCTTTCTTCCTCACGTGTGTCCTTGTATGTTGCACTGCCTGCTCGAGGATGTACTCTTGTGTTCCTGCTTTGATATAGACTGTTTATCACCTGTGGTGAACACGGACCTTCCATGGGCCAGAGTATTCGGGTTCATACCACATGAGACAGAGGGAAAGGTTTTCAACCAGCATATTACGTTGTGCATCCAACGACTACTTGATTGTGTTCGGGAAACGCTAATGTCCTCCCTGTTGAATTTGTTATATACAAAGCCAAGAAAATGACAATGAGAGCTCAGTGACAGGCACTTAAATAGGTATACAGAAACTGTTGAAGTGTGTTAGGCACACAAGGAAGTGCTATGAATTTATTACTTGACTGCCTTGCAGAATGCCCCGGTCTGCCTCGAATCATGATTTTTATTGTTTCGTTGATGAAGATTTCTGACTCACAACAATGTCGGCACCGGATTTTCTGCATCACATTCTCCTTAATGCTATTGTGTTAAGTTGTGTTAAAGGAACGGACAAATGCTCGATACACGGGTTTATGTAACTCCGCTGATGTAAACATTTTCTGTCGTATTGGCTAAAGTGAACCTTGTTTTTCTTATTCAGGGCTGATTTTTACTTTTAGTTAACTGAAGTAGTGAAAATTTACTCTTGGTGCTCCACAGGGCTAAAAAGTTAAGATACATACCGCTACCATGTAACATTTTAGTGGTATAAACATGCAATTGTCTCCCTGTTAGTGTTAAAATGTAGAAAACTTTTTTACACACTAGCATTAAAAGATTGTTTTGCAGAAGTTGCAGCATTGGTGTTGACGTCACTAGTTGTGGGCGAAAAATCTGTCACTGAAAAATCAAGGGGCTACAAAATAAATAAAATTTCTGGGTGTGAGTGAGGATCGAACACAAACTGTTTGCATGGAAAGCAGGTGTCTTACCTCACAGCTATGCATTTGCTTGCAAGTACAGTGAAAATAACTCATGCTTTACAGACACGTGCATCCTGTATACAGGTCTCGCAATAACGCGACATGTAATATCAAAGTAATATTGCATGGTACAAGTGTATATTGCTGTTGGGCATCAGAACATCCGGCTATTAGAAGAACTTTGTGGTTTAAAGCCGGCCACCTATTAAAAAAGGCACAGGCGTTACTGCATGTATTCCCTCCAGACCACGTAGTGTGTGCATAGCAAGTTCCAAAATACTTTATGTGCATGATTACTCGTGATTTAAAGCATGCTACCTATTACGCAGAGTGCAGCCATAAATAAAAGCTTTACTTGCACAAGCCACTTTCAACTTTATCATTTACATTGTTATAATCCACAATTCAGACTTATCAAGAAACATCAAGTAACATGACACAATAAACAGTAAGCACTAAGGGGTTAAACACCGGAGACAAGATATTGCTATCGTGTTCAATTCTTATAGGCGACACTTGAAGGCCTCTCAATTTCACGTTTTCCAGCTTGAGATCTGCAGAACAGTGGCCATGCCTTCGCTTGACATTTCATCCGATGCTCATAGGCAGCAACATGGAAGTTGTTAGCAGAGAGCCTAGTGGAACCTGCTGACGAGCTGGAAAAGTGTCTGGCTTGCGAGGTGGTTAAAAAACTTCACTCGACGAAAAGCATAAGAAAAACGTACTCTGCTTGCTTTTTATTTTAAAAAGTGTTGAAAATGACGAAATGAAGGTGGTTAATAACAGTTGACAATTGTTTTGTGGGGGTTCATGGTCGGAATTTCACTAAACATTGGGATAAATCCAATTCAGAGCATCTCTGTGTCTTCATTGCTCGACATGCATAGCAGACAAAGTTACGATGAACAATATAACACAGTACAGAAACACTGCTATGCATCCTTGTGATAAACTAACAATGAGATCAGCCTCATGCCGTTTGGTTCAGCTATCTCTATTGGTTGCCTTTTTGTCTGTCTTGTGGCCTTTAGGTGTTTCTGTACATGAGAGAATCTGGGCAGCACATTCTGGCATGGCATTTGTCATGTTTTTCAAAAACAACATTGCAGCATGCTTGGATCACAGGAACTGTTTTGCGTTCATGAAGAATTAACACTTGCTCATGGTGCCCAGCTTTTGTTGAGCACAAATATTTGCTCTGAAACACAGGATGGTCGATGATAGTCATGCAAGATGTTTAATCTGATGACTATCACTCCACTTAAAACAAGCAGCCTTTATACCGGTGAAATGCTGTGAAATGACTGTTGAACACGTTGTCACTCACTGGCAGCATGAAATCCAAGTTGCATCTCAAATCACTGTCAGTGCTGTAAAGTTTCTTGATTAAAAAAAAAAAAACATGCTGGAGAAAGCTGTATGAGTATGCACATGGCCAGGTAGGTAACGATTGTTAATTTGGATGTACTGTATATATACAACACTATTAAGTAGCAGAAACCTGCCTAATCTGAGACAGGTGAGTACACAGCACACTGCAAAGCATTACAAGCAGTCCTACTGCTGTGTTAATCAGAGCCAAAATTCTCTTGTGGCCTTCACTACTATAAGCATTCTCGCATGATGAAAAGGATGTATTGTCATTTGCGCTAGATTTCTTTCTAATAGTTTTGCCATACAGCTGTGATGTTTCTCCACTGTAATGGAAGAAATTAAGCCTATACTTGTAAAAATTGTCTGCAGTTGCTGTCAGAGGAGTACTGCTGAAGAGGTGCCCTTGTGGTCAAGTGGTCAACACGAATGATGCAAGCCAGATACCGGATTGGAAAGTGCGAAGGGACGTGTCTATCCAATGTGGTTTACAAGAGATGGCCCCCCTGCCTCTCCCAACAGAAATTTGTACGTACTTTTTACCCATGTCTGAGAAATGGCAATGGTGTAGCTTAGTGCAAAAAAATTTGGAAAATTGTGAAAAGGAGTTCAAACAGCAGTAATGTGTTTTACATAGCAGCGCTACATTTGATGTTGACCAGTGACGATGTCCATGGCTGTTCAATATTGTCAGCATTAACAACAAAATTAGACAGTTGACAGGTTACTGCAAAGGATATCACAAACTAAGTTGCTGCAAGAGAAGCAGCATCTACAACAGATGAGTGAGCTGTCTATTTATAGCAAAAGTGACCAGCAGACCAGTATAAAGATTGTCAACATATTTATTTACTATAGCTAAGCTTGCCATTGAACCTTGCGGCTTGTCAGCTTTGACTAATGGTATGAAGTTTCGGTACTGGCCACCAGTGATGACTTCGGTCTATCACTCAAGACATTTCCCTGGTAAACTAAGCTGCTTATAATCTAAACTATGAGAGGTTTCTTGGTAAAAAAGAATTCGGGAACCTTGCATCAAGTAACGCAAAAGTTGGCTCAGTGAAGCACAACCTTGTCGCTGCTCGTACTCCGACATGTCTAGCTCCGAGATGTGCGGCATCCTCCTAGGGCATTTTCTTAACGCAGCTCGTAAATACCGGGACATAATTGTGTGCAGCCAGGCTAAGCATCATAGAAAAGAGATTGTGCGCAATGTCTTTGTTGGTTGGCGTGGCCTGCAGCTAATGCACATGTGCGGATTGACCAGGTGTTGCAGTATCTAGTTCCTAGATGAAACTGTGCTTCATTCAACATTCTTGCTCTCTTTTATTGTAGTGCATTTGTTTCCATTTATATACATATATCTTACTCTTTCTGATGGTAAATAATATGTAATACCATTGCATCTGTCCTCACACTAACTCCCCTTTCCCACTCTCCCTTTACTGTACAATATACAACAAGGCTATGTTATGGTCTGCCAGCATGCCTAAGGCCCTGGATAGCCGAGTGGTTAGGACGCTCAATGTATTTACATCCAGAAAGATGTTTACACTGTTTAAAGCTGACAGCATATCACATACGAAGTGATAGTGGGGTGGACAGGTAATGCCGTTTGCACTAAGAAAACCTGCTCTAATAATTGTATGTGTAGTGTTTGTAACTGCGCACTGCAAGCTTCCACAATGGAGGGAGTGAATGCACAGAGTACCCCCCTTAGTTCTGGTTTCAAGGTGCCATTTGGCCTGCGCTCGATGCTTCCATCTAGTATCGGCCAGTTACCTTTAAGGCTGCTTTACCGTCATGCCTGGGCTGTAGTGTTACGAAGTGAAAGCTTGGATAATTACAGCTTTTCATTTACAATGCAGCGAAGCTCATGAGCCAGTCGCCTGGAACATATCAAGTACAGGACTGGTGTGAAGAGAAGGGGGATGTCATTCACAGAAGGAAATTCTCAGCCGTAGACTTAGATAGTTCTGGGTAAACTGGTGTGTGCAAATACAGACAAACGACTACATAAAAGAAGAGACAGGGACATTGTCCCTGTCTCTTCTTTTGTGTTGTCGTTGGTCTGTATTTGCGCACACCAGTTTACCCACAATTATGAACCAACTCGCCCAGCTACAAAATATACTGAACCAGATTTGGATAAGCCTGTAGGACTAGTCATAAGGCATTGAACAGGAAAGGCCTGAATATAATAATAAAGTGCTAGTGTAAGGGTACATAATGTTGTGTACATAGATAACAGTGCATGGAAGTGAAGTTGTGTGTCATGTTTTCTTTTACAAATTGCAGTTTCGTCAGCAGCAACTGTGGAGAGCATAGCGACAAGGACAAGTTGCTACCAGGCTGGAATTGTGCCCTCAGAGTTCGAGAATGGGATGGAACATGTCACAGGCAGTACAGTGGGAGGTCAGCAGCTGTTTCAGTGCCATCGCTGCCAGTACTCGACATCCAAACATTATAGGTTGACATATCATCTTCAATCACACAGTACAGAGAGACCTTTCCAATGCGAGGTCTGTCCAGCGGCATTTAAGCGCCTGCACTCCTACAAAGCCCACATGTGCATACACACGGGAGAAGTGCTCTACCAGTGCCATCTTTGCCCGTATACGACTTCCTACAACACACTTATGTTGGATCACAAGAGAGCTCACTCGGACACTGTCTTTCTTGCCTGCGACATGTGCGCATATACAACTAAGAAGAAGGCAAACCTGCATATGCACAAGCTCAACCACATAAGGGATATGCCTTTCAAGTGCAAAATCTGCTCTTTTGGTTATAATAAGAAGCGGTATTTAAAAAATCACATGCGGCAACACTTGGAATCTTAGCCATGAGGGTAATTGTGGCTATTCATGGAAGCAGCATTCACCATCCCGCAACTTCAAACATGAGCAGGTGACAGCAACAAGTTGAATGAAAGAAGAGAGGCGTTGATGCTTGTTTTTGTACATATCTATTTCTGCAGTCATTGTGTTCATTCTGCATCACAATTGGAATGAACGTTTCAGACTCTGGGACCTTGACAGGACATCTGATCAACAACACAGTCATCTGGATCACATGTTTAAACATTCATATACCAAACTTGGTTGTAATTCAGCATGTTCATCAGTCGTGCAAATGATGTTGCACTTGCCCAAATCATTTTCATTCCCAAATATCTTGCCAGTGTGTGTGTTCATCAAGAGTCTATCACAAGCAACACTTGAAGTTGCACCAATTATCCCACATCTGACCCACTGATAGTATGAAAACGCAGGCAGCCTAAGCATTCAAGTCTTGCCATATTGTAGAATCGCATGGCTACGCATGCAAACAGTGAATGGGACTTCTGTTTGTTGCATTTGTAATATAAAAACACTTGTTCAGAGCACAAATGGTCGAACAATTTGTTCTTTGCACTTGTGAAGTGTGTCTTGTGACTGTGATAAGTGTTCTCTGCTTCAATATTATATTGATAGGAAATGATGTATCCCCAAGACAAAGTCCTCTAAGTATCAAGCCGAGCCAAACTTCCGCTTCCGTTTTTATGTCAAGTCTGGTGGATTTCAGGTCCTTAAAGGAGCACTGACATCAAATTTACTCATGCCAAGATTTTTGCGTCAGCGAGTAGCTATAGACCCTGTAGCAGCGATTCGCGACCTAAAACACAATTGAGGGATGAATAACGATCACTTTTATTGATTTGAATCACTGGTATCCAGCACTATTCAAGACAGCCGGCAATCCCGCCACTTTTAGTGCTGAGAGCACCAGCAGTAGCGCTACCTCACAGTCACCTCCAGATCACGCCAGAGCAGACCACTTCTCCACATAAAAGAGTGACGTCAGTCTCAGCTGCTCCGCAAACATTTCGTCTGCTAGGCGGACACATTCAGTCATGGCTTGTCACCTGCATTGTTGTCATCACCGCACAAAGTGTCGACTCGGGTTCAATACGATAGTCTGGAGCTTGGAATCCCCGCGATTCGCGATGTCACGAATTATTTTTTCTTCGATCGACCTTTTGCAGAACAGGGATTTCAAAATGGACGCCGTTCCAAGCAGCACTGCAGAGGTGGTTGAGGATGCACGCTTCAGCCATTTTCGCTCGTGTGTCTCAGTTAGCTATATTAGTGTGTTTTGGCGTGCAAAGAATTCAGGTACATATACGCACAGGGGTCCATGCAATATAGCTATCATGAATGAGCATCAGCGGAAACATAGAAAAAGTTTCCTGTTTGCCAGGTTCTTTTTTGAACCTCCAGATGGCCCCATCTATCCAGCCTCTCACGATTTACCCGGTATTGCCACTTTTACATGGACGCAAGTCTACAGATGAACTAAAATTCAACAATATCTGCGTGTTACTTGTTAGCGATGATATCTGACCATGTATACACTGTTCCGCTTTTCATAGCATGTGGTCGTGTTGATGTGTAACACATACGTGATATGAAAAGACACACTCATTGCGCCTTTTCCGAGCTTCGAACTGGACTGGACTACTGCAACTAACAACGATTCCCCGACATGCTGACCGACAAGCACCCGTTTAATGTTTTTTCTTTTGCCGTTCCTTTAAAGGTGGTTTTTATCTTGATAACTTCACGAAATCATTCAAATCGGTGCGACGGAGATCAGACGCTACGAGCAAGTGCGTTTCTGCGCTTCGGCACCACAATAAGAACACTCGGATCGTACACGTAATCGCAACTAAGGCATCGTCACTCCGGATGGTATTTGTGGAATGTATCACACCGAACACGTAGCACTAGTGTCGATGTCGCAGGGCAGTCCATTTTCCGTTTTTTCTCCTTAGCTTTTCTACGCTGTTTGACATCAAATTAAAATAACTTCTACGCGATGGATGCCATTCGAGTTTGGCCCAGAAGACCCATGCATACCAAGCAATCGAATGATGGGTACATCTCGATCTTGAAATTTGATGTGAGTGCTCCTTTAAGCATTGGGCTCAAGCAGCAGGCCCAGACATCTTCTGAAATTCGGCCTGTGCCTCACCTCTGATGCCTGATCATAGTAGGTACCATCTGGGCTACATTTGTGTGGCATCTTGGTTGTATGCTGTATATAATTTCAAAAATTATAAAGTTAAGCATGAAGGTGGTCCCCACAATCAGTATGTAGCAGAACATACCCTGTAAAGCAATTCATTGCGATTGAGGAATACGGCATTCTAAATTGAGCATTGGGCACCAAGATTGATTGCGATGATGATAAATTAGTGCCTCAATATTCCTCGTTAAAACACTTTCAAAGGCTAACACCATTAGTTTTGTTCTAAAACTGCCAGGTATGAGGGATTCTTGGCACAGCTTAAGTGTAGGAAAAGGCAGCATTCTCCGGTTCTTGTCCATTCAACTAGCAAATAGATGAAGTGTTGGCTAAGGATTGCGTTGCAAGGAACAAAGACGAGAATATGCCAGAAGTACGCTGTCAACTTGTTTCTTAAAGGGTTTCTCACCTGCTTTTTCAAGTATAATAACTTCAATATATTAGGCTATTGCCTGACGATTCTATTGCTGCAAAATGTTTTTGAATGCCGATAACGGGCAAAGTTGTTGCAATTTGTTGTGCTGACTGCTTTCTTTTTCTTGTCCAAGTTCACTGGAAGCTATGCAGAAAGGGATGGCACAGAGTGAAGAAGTTACATGAGCGCGCATTAGGAAACAATTATTGGTTTCTCCCGTAGTGGTTCCTGTGTGCGAATGTAGCCCACTATTTAACGTTAGCAGGCTATCGAGCGCAGTGCCAGCACAGCGTGGCAAGATGTGCATGCTATCCGAACAACACGCATAATTTATGCTAGCTATTAGCCAATAGCATGCTACCCACTGTTTGATGTCGATCACTGGTTGCTGGTCGCTCTAAAGCGAGTGAGGATATACCCGTGTATGAAAAAGGGGTGCTTGAGAAAATGGCCACTCTTCACTCTGCTTGTAAGCTCTTTTAGCTGTGTCTGACTGCAGGGTTTGTTCGTGGTATTATTTACAGGATTGGTTTTCTCACCAAGACCGAGTAGTAGTTTATGACCACTTCAAGCAGTCTGGCTTTTGTGGAGGGCAAAGTGATCAAAACATGGCCTCGATTCAGTTAAAGAGGCCCTCGATCACTATCGAAGCACCTATTTTTTTGTGGTTTGCATAGACTGATAGCTGGAGATAATGTTAACATAGGTCTAAGCACCAATATGAAATGATTTAGTATTTGTTCACTCTATAAAGACGTTACAACGTTGCCAACTGCATCGGCACGTAGTGGCGCCCGCCAGAACATTGCCGGCGGAAATGACGCTGGAAAGTTGTGGCCATACTATTGGATAAATGTAACATTAGAAGCCATCATCGTGTAGGAGTGAAGCTGAGGTTACTAATCTATTTCATTTTTCTTCTCTGTGTTTTTTCATCGAACCCTGAACAGACACAACCATAAGAAATAAAAATCACTGCGACTACAAAGGACAACAGATACGCTGGCTGCCATTTCGCCCCTGTATTTTTGGCTTGCTCAGGTCGGATGCCCATACGAAAAACTTCTATCTCTTTCTTCTCTCCTCTTGCTTTTAAAAATTTTCGAGCTTTCTTTGCACGTGCGCTGTTGAAGGGGTGCAGTGCACCATTGTTGTTCGTCGGGCGGCCCATCGAACTATGCGCGAAGGGTCAACTTAACCATCCTGGTCATTCCACAAGTTCCTTTCTCAGAATAAAAGAAGAGAGTGGCTCAGAATGTTGTAAAAGAACATCAGAAAATACCTCGCTTCGAAACAGTAGCTCCCGCTCACATTTTGGCAAGCCAGGCAACAAGGTGACAACTAGGTCAACATTAATTTAAAAAAAAAAAAACTAGCAACAACCAAAGCAAGTTTGGCCAACTGTCGACGATTGGTGGATGGCTGGCATGTAGTCAATACCGTTTAAAAACATCAATTGCCTGGGAGAAAGTGAGAGACAATGTACCTGTGGTCGTAAGCTCGAGTACTTAAATTGTCGGAGAGTGCGACAATCCGTATGATTGATATGCGAGTTTTAATGTCCCAATACCACCATATGATTATGAGAGACGCCGTTATGGAGGGCCCCAGAAATTTTGACCACCTGGGGTTGTTAAACGTGCACCCAAATCTGAGCACATGGGCCTACAACATTTCCGCCTCCGTCGGAAATGCAGCCGCCGCAGCCGGGATTCGATCCCGCGACCTGCGGGTCAGTAGCCGAGTACCTCCAATTACATTTCTGACTAAATAACAAAAAATGTTAGCAATTTAATTCGTACATAGCTAGGTGAGCATATCCACATCGAAAAATTTTGCGGCACCATCATTTGCCAAGAGAGCAACAATATATATTGTTAGGGCGTTTATTAGCTGACACACAGCGAGCATACACAATGGCGACAGTAACAGCCAAGCACGGACTCCCAGCGCGAGTGGCGTCCTTTTTAGGTAGACCCATTAGAAAGCACTTGATAGTTCGACCCATTTCAGTGTTCGGAGGCTTCTCTACAATTACCCCCGGGGTCGAAGAGGGAGCCGCCTGGCGACCTAACAGCTTGTCACTATGTGACCCTAGCGAAACGGCCGCGGGCGCATCATGAGCGTGGCATGTAGTCATGTTGTTACATTACACACATGTCATGATTTTTTATGTTAGGGTCTGTCGCTTGTGTTCGCCATGCAATCATGGCATGCCATAACAGTTTTGCAACATGCCATGTGAACGAAACCGCCACAATTAAGAGCTGCAGGGCCATGAAATGTAAATCGTGACATACATGCCATGGTTTTCATCTTATGACTAGTCAAGTATGTTCTTCATACAGTCATGTTATGCCATACCAAGTTTAGTATAGATGCCATTGCCGAAACGGCAAGGAGAGCCGAAAGTCGTAGGCGGCTAGATAGATACTCTCATTGTCGCCGAAACTCACTAAGAAATGCGTCGCATTTAATACCGCAATCGACAAAAGATCAGGCCTTGGAAATTTCATCGGTGGCGCAGTTTTTGCCTCGGGAACGGCGACTGTTAGTTTTCCTCCTGGGCATGGTTGGAATGGGGATGCATGGGGGAAGGAGACCGCAGACGGGGTGAAGGAAATCGACGTGAGCTGAAGTCTGGTGGACGTGAGCGGGAGTCAGGTGCATCAGGTGTAACATGCGACTCTAGTTGCAGAGGGATGTTGCCGGAATTCTCAGTATCATTAAAATAGAATCTACGGCAATCACAGTAGTGAGCGACATGCCCTGGAATACTGCAGCTGTAGCAGGCGGGCCGCTTATGCAAAGTACGCCAAGAGTTTACAGGGGCTCGAGGTGGCGAGATGGGCTGATTCACCGGATAAACTGAAAGTGACCACCTGTAGTAGGAATAGGTGATTGGAC